GGTGTGTACAGAGGGCGCATGTAAACTGGCGTGAGATGTTGTGGGGAGGGGCCGCGCCGGCGGAGAAAGGGTTGGTGGGGGGATTGACAGGGGGGGCCTGGTAGACATCAGACGCCACAGGGCAACGGCCAAGCTCCCATCAAGCTGGACGGGGCGCCCCCAGAGAGGGTTGGACGCGGGCGGTCAGATGCTCCGGCACAGCCGCCCGCAGTCGGTGAGCTATGTCCCAAACCGGTGGTGAGCTATGTCCCAAACAAGCTGAGGGCCGGCCACCCACCGTCGACAAACGTCTGGCTGATGTCGATGCCCACGACCTCCCGGTACTCCCGCGCCATCTCGAACGACGACCGCCCGACCGCGCAGCCCAGGTCCAGCGCGCGGCCCGTCGCCGCGCCGGCCTCCGCCGCCCAGCGCAGCACGAGGTCGCCGCACTTTTTGGGGAAGTCGGCCGCGGCGGCGAGGATGCCCGTCTCGGCGGCGAACTCGGCGAGGGCCGTGTCCACGGGTCCAAAATGCTGTGGCGTGTCGGATACGGATTGAATGAGACGGGGATCAGCGGCTAACGCAAGATCACAGTTGGTTGAGGGGCCGCCAGATCACGCGGAACACGACCGCGGGAGAACGATGAGCGTCCCGGACACGAGTATCCGCAAGAGATGGATCAGCAAGTCGCGATGACCCGCTGCAGCACGCGGTGGGGCCGCGGGCGCCTCATCCAGCCACTGCCAGCACACGATCCCGCCGCTCCCTCAATGAAACTGACGGCGCGGCGCTGTCCCTGTCCTTGCCCTCACCAGTGCGAGGTACTGGCACATGAGCGCGTCCGTCTCGTAGCTCTGCTTGGTGGCCGCCACCTTGGCAATGTCAAGCTGCGCCTGCTCCGCCATGGTCGGCGTGAACCTGAAAGTTGTGGAACCCAACGGTAGTGTTGCAAAGAAGCAAAATGTGTTATGAAATGGCACATGATAAGCGCGCCCCGCCACTACATGCAAACCGATGCCGTCTCAAGGCCTCGCGAGTGCGTCCCCCCGCCTCCCGCTTGCAAGGTCCTGCCGCGCCGCGCCGGGCGGAAGCCCGCACCTCTCGCGCCGATCCTTGCTGCAGCAGGCGCGGTCGCCCACGTGCGGCGGCGCGGCGTCCATGCAGCTGGTCTCGTAGAAGGGGCGCAGGGGGCTGTCGACGCTGTGCTTGCTCATGTCGTAGACGGTTGGGTCCACCTCGGGCGCCACCACTCGGAAGCCGGCGTGCTGCAGTTTTCGGTCGTTGTGGTGGATGAGGGGGGGGGGGTGCCCCAGGGGACCAACGGTCAGGGAGGATGCAAGAATTGTGCGCCAGGCGGCCGGCCGGCGAGGCAGGCGAAGACCATTCACCACACGCAAACTGTTTGGCAACACCGCCAGCAGCAGCAGCAGCGGCAGCGGCGGC